GGTGGGGAGAATTGTGAATATAAGAATATTTTGTGAAAACAGATGATCAACAGTTTGAGAAGACTATAGCATATATATAGATAGATCAAGAAAACATCCAAAAAATTGTTTCCCAGTCCAAACCAGTCAGCAATTATTATGATTCATACTTGAATACTTGATGTTACAAATGATGTTTGTAACATCATTTATGCAAAATTAACACACTCAGACAACTGCGGTGACTGCTGATGTTTTGGCAAAATGCTCTTATCACCAACCCCAGCTAAAAGCTGCTTGTCCCCTCAAAGACCTACCTACTAATTTACAAAAGGTATTTCTTTATCAGGTTTAACTTCCGAGGATTTCGTTGGATGAAAACAATGATCCACACAATCAAGGAGATTAATGAGAGGAAGGATATTTTGCCCAACATCACTTTGGGCTATCAGATCTTTGACACCTGTTTCACCATCTCCAAATCAGTGGAAGCGGCTTTGGTGTTCCTTACAGGGCAGGAAGAAAATAAGCCCAATTTTAGGAACAGCACTGGGGCATTTCTGGCAGGAATTGTTGGGGCAGGTGGATCATCCTTATCAGTTGCTGCTTCAAGGATTCTAGGACTGTATTATTTACCTCAGGTATCTCAGAATATGGAGCCGGGTACTGACTTATTAAAAAACAAAAACCGGGTGGGAGGGGGCTGAGGGATCGAAATCTACCTGTTGGGTACAATATACACTATTCTGGCCATGGGTACACTGAAAGCCCTGACTTCAGCATGACACAATACAGCCACGTAACAAAAAACACTTGTGCCCCCTAATCTATTGAAATAAAAAATAAAATAAAATACTTGAAAAGAACTCCCTACAAACTGTGTGGAAATTGCAGCAAATTGCTCTAGATAGGCTGGGTTAAGTTGCAGAGACAAGCAGGGGTGGTGGTGATGTTGTCGCCCCTAGTTACTATGTTCAGATGGGCCATAGCAAGTGTGAATTGATGCCTCCATAGAGCCGATTTGAAAATATTCTACATCCCTTGGCACCCTGCTTTAATTTTTGGCTCTAGGTTGTGACCCAGTGATTTGTAGGTTGACATCTCACTAGGCATAATACTTTATAGCACTCTGTGAAGCACCATGTAGGTGCCTGATAAATACAAGTTTGTTGATCAGTAGATGGTATAAGGAACTCATGTGTTTCTTGCTATATTAATGCTTATTATTCATCACCCTTTTTGTTCATACACTAACATAGTGAAATAAGCCTGGGAATTTTGCAAGATGGCTAGAGTTTTGAGGATGCTAACTTTACAGATTATTTTAAATTCAGAGGCAGTGACACATTTGAACATAAGAAAAGATAATATTAGAAAAAGGGGATTATTAAGAAAATATAAATAAAGCTCATAATTATCTCTAAGGACGGGTTGTTAAAGTATCAATTGTCAGGACTTATTAATGTGAATGATGATTATGCTTATTTGTGTTACTGAAGTAATGGGTGAATTTGAAATAATTGTAAAGATAATTTATATAGTATTTCTTATAAAGCTGCAAATACAAATGTAGGGGAGCAGGAAAACGCAGAAAAACAGAACAAAGAGGAGTGGTTGGGTGACACAGCTGACACTGTAGGTGTGGACTTCGTGCAGCTCACGCTGCTGCTCCTCTGAGCTCTGTCTTCCACCAAATATCGACTGTGGTTCAGGCACTGGTTAGAAACATTTAGATTGATTTTCTCATTTAAATCTTTGTAGTAAATCTGCAAAGAAGGTAAAAGAAATCTTCTATGTGACGGACACTTTCACATTTGTTGCCTCGTTTAATGTATTGAGCAACCTTGCAATGTAGATATTATTACCTTGATTTCACCTTTGGGGAAACCGAGGTTGAGAAGGTTTAAGAAACTTGTCTAAGATCTTACACTGATAAATTATGCAGCCAGAGTTAGAAATCAGATGTCTCTGCTTCTTAAACTAGATTCTTTTTTCTACAGATGGCTTCCATGATGTTGCTGCCTTGCATGATTCCAAAGAAGAATGTAAATTTTAGCCAATGGAGTAAGAATAGGACATAGGGGAGATGAAGGAGAAAATAGGAATATTCTGGCACCCATGAAGACATTGACAGTCACAAGCTATGAAATTATAATATAGGAGGTCCTATTGGAGATGACGCGTTAATAATATGAGAGGGAAATGGGATGGGATAAGGGAGAACGTTCTTAACTGTAGAGTGGTGAGGTAGAGGGTAAGCTACAGCAGAAATGCATGTAAGACGGTGAGGAATTCACCTGACCTCCATTCTTAGGTTCCCAGTAATGGAAAATACATATAAGAATCACTGGCCAAATGAGAAAAACTCCCTCTTTATTTATCTAGACAAGTGCCTATAAAATGAGGGCTTCTAGTAACTTTGTTGGCGAACATGGCTTAGACCTGAAGTTGAGGTGGTGCTTTCTACCACCTTTCTCAAGCTAAGTCTTGAAACCTTTGTACTCCGAAGTCCTGGCAGAGAAAAACAAGGAAAGAGAAGAGGAGAGAAAGAAAGAATGTAGTGGTGGGGGTGGGAGGGGAGAGAGAGAGAAGGAAGAACTGGGCTTGCCAAATGTACCAAGTGAGTCCATTCACTCCATCACCTGTATGGGTGAGAAGGCAAATCTGAGTGGATGGCTGACTCACTCCCCTCGTCTCTGGGGTGCACAGAGGAAAGGGCAGATGGCTTCCTTTCCACTGCTGTGACCCCACCTGTAAAAAGTAGTGCATTGAATGTCATCATGTTAATAATAAGCTCCTCCAAATCTCTTGGGACGGGGTGGGAAAAGGGGGGATAGAGAGGCCCAAAGCCTTCCCTCAAACAGTCCCCACCCACTGAGTAGGGAGAGGAGTAGAAGTCATTTTGTCCATGGAGGGATGTGAGAATTCAGGGAGAAGAATGGTTAATTTCCCTCCCTCTCCAATAAAAATATTATGAAATTGTGTAATTTGAAACTGGCTATTTCTTTCTAATAACTGCATGAATATTTTCAATTGTAGGTGGGCTATGCCTCTACCTGCTCAATACTTAGTGACAAATATCAGTTTCCTTCTTATCTTCGCACAATAGCCAGTGATAAGATCCAGTCGGAGGCCATGGTAAGACTTATCCAACACTTCGGTTGGGTCTGGATAGGCACTATAGCAGCTGATGATGATTATGGAAAATATGGAGTAAAAATTTTTAAGGAAAATATGGAGAATGCCAACCTCTGTATCGCATTCTCCGAAATCATTCCCAAAGTCTATTCCTATGAGAAAATGCAAAAAGCTGTTGATGCTATAAAGACCTCCACTGCCAGAGTCATTGTGCTTTACGCATCTGATATTGACCTCAGCCCTTTTGTGTTGGAAATGGTTTACCATAACATAACTGACAGAACATGGATAGCGAGCGAAGCATGGATTACCTCAGCCCTCATCGCAAAGCCTGAATATTTTCCGTATTTTGGTGGAAGTATTGGATTTGCAATACCAAGAACTGATATACCAGGATTAAAAGAATTTCTTTATGATGTACAACCCAACAGGGATCCAAATGATGTCCTCACCATCGAATTCTGGCAAACTGCTTTTAACTGTACTTGGCCCAATAGCAGTGTTCCGTACAATAGTGACCATAGAGTGAATATGACTGGTAAAGAAGACAGATTACACGCAATGTCTGACACATTTTGTACTGGAGAAGAGAAGTTGGAAGATCTTAAAAACAC